AGTGGTGGGAACCATAGTTTTCTGAAATTCTGATAAAATAATTCCCCCCAGAACACTTTTGTGTATTGATCAATATAACACAGAGTTTAGAGAACGTCACTTACCAACAGATACTAAGGCAACGTCTAGATTAACAGAATTGAAAACCTACTTTGCATGAATAAAGATTATAAGTGTCTCCCCTCAAGTCAATACGCGTTAATAAAAAAGCTTCAAAAAATGTCAAGCAACGAATATTTTATCAATCAATGCCTTATTACTTAAGCATAAAAATTATATTCTGAAGTACTTTGCGCCTAAAACTAGAGTTTTCTGAATATCCAGGTGATACGCTCTTAACATTTGCATTGAACCATTTACTTTTACAGAAATAAAGGCTCCCTTTAGAAGACAGAGTCTATTAATGAACATGTGATATCTCATTTCGGAGGGGGCGTTTAAAGTCCTATATCCATCTCCAATGATTTTGAAGAATTCGTTGAAGAAAGGTGATAATTGCAACAATTCTAGATCAAAAATATGTAATTTCTGTTGACTGCACTCGTAATGCCAAAGTTATTGCATTGTTGTAGCGTGTACTACTGATAAAATTCATCCGTAGTATATAAAGAGAAGTTCATCGACATAAAAATATCAAATAGCACGGAGATGCCTTTGATTCTACAGAAGGCAAATGTTACAGTGACGTGGAGATACATGGGAGAAGTGAAAGGAACACACAAAGAAACACAATAAGAAGGAAGGCCAGAAGTAGCACAACACGGCAGATCTGTGTAAATGGTGTGTTGAAGTTAAGGTATACCTAATTTCGCTACATAGAGATACCAAGATACCAAGTAAATAGGCAATCCTATACCAAGTCCCTTGTTTTCAACCGTTACAATTGGTGTCGCTGCCTCCAGACAATGAAGATCCTATGGCCCTCTGCTGTTGAAGAAAGACACATACGGAGCTTCTTGTTGGACTTTGAAACCGTCACTGAGTTTGGTGGGCGTCAAGGATCCGACGACAAAGGCAGTATACGACAGTGTGAAGCGTTCAGGTGGGATGGAGACCTGGAAAGTATTGGTAGGACGATTGATGGCTGAGTTCGATGGATAGACCACAAAGCTGGGACGGGAAAAAGACTGGCGCTGGTGCTGGCAGTGAAGCTGACCAATGTACTACATCATGCACTGCCCACGTTGAATGAAGAGTCAAAGTCGCAGCTTTTGGCGCCTCACTTCATCGAGAATGTTCCAGATCACATTTCCCAGCAACTGAAACTAAATTGTAATGGTATAAGACGAAAGACGCGGTAAACGAATGTTCACTTAGAGTTTGATACCTCTCTATATTGCGAAATTATGTACACCATATCTGCAACGGACCATTTGCACAGATCTGCTGTGTTGCACTACTTCTGGCCTTCCTTCACATTGTGTTCCTTTCACGTCTCCCATATATATCTCTGCAACTCTGTATCGTTTGCTTTCTCTGACATCACTTCTATCTCCCTGCTATTTGATGTTTTTATGTCGACGAACTTCTCTTCATATACTTCTGATGCATCTTATCAGTAGTACACGCCGCAGTATTACTAACTCCCAATGGGAAAGCGGCTAACTGTGTTCATTCCACTCAAGCGCTCTACCACCAAATTCAACTGACCAATAAGCTTTCATTTTCCCTTCACATTTATCTTCTTTATGTCACTATCGGACCCACATCTCACTTATCGCCCCAACCCAGCTTCCCAACTGATTTCAGCTCAAGGACCTTAATAGCAATCGATGTACACAAAACTCATCTCCACTTTCTTTTCTGGCATATTTGTCGTGCAGTCGATGGTTGGTTGGCTGACTGGCTGGTACAGTGCCAGACATTCTTATCATTTATCCTTTTCCCAGCTAGCCATATTTATGACCTTTAGTAACGATTAAATCCAGTCGTGTATATGATCGATGCCAATATTACACTTTTAGGCATGTCTAAGCAATGAATGCTGTAGCCTACTATACTTTTAAGTCAAATATGCAATTTGGGCTATTTTTATATATTCTGCCCTTTGAAAAAATAAGAAAACAGAATCCCTTTATTTTTTAATTCTATCATCCTTTAACAGTGAAACGCATCTTACTACTCTTCCCCTAATTTTTCGCTGTTTCATCTATGTAGGCGTTTCTCAGTCGTTTCCTTTTTACTTACTCACTGGAATAGATAAGTCATGGGTGTATAATCCTTTGGTTAAAAAACTGAGCTTATACAAATTCAAGCTGGTAGATATGAATGGATTAATGCGAAGGCTGTGGAGAACGAGACAGGGAAGAATACCTTGAACCGATGATAAGAGAATAGAAGACATGTGAATTTCAAGTGTTGCTTTGTAGGGATTTGGTTGATTGGTTCCAGGATTTCATCATAAGCTGATATTGGTTAGAGAACCATTGGGAAGCCTGCACTCGAGTACTCGACAGTTGGCTCGTCCCAGTTTGGGACTCTTCGTCAGTACGCACCCGCCACAGGGGTTCGAACCCCAGACCTTCTGGTTACAAGGTGAGCTCGTAGACCAGTAAGGCACTGGGGCCTGATCCAATGACCAGCCTGTGAATTCTAACTTCTGCCAATTCACGACATAGCGCGACCACTAGCCAATGTCATCGGTGGAGAGTATTTGTCCTCACACCCGACCTGCTGTACCCTACCGGTCACGCTATGTCGTGAATTGACAGAAGTTGGAATTCATGGGCCATTGGATCGGGTCACAGTGGCTTAATGGTGTACGAGCTCGCTGGCCTTGTAACCAAGACGTCCTGGGTTCGAACCCCTGTGGTGGTTGTGTGCTGATGAAGAGTCCCAAACTAGGCTGAGGAAACAGCTGTCCAGTAGTCCCAGGTTTTCCAATGTCTCTCTAACTGATGTCAGCTCATGATGAAATCCTGTAACATCTGGATTTCTTAGATGACGCAAACTCGATGACTTGGTGCATTACGACGAGAATTTTTCAACAGGTAGCAGACCTTTATCAACAACACAGCTACACTTCATTCACTGGTTCCATACTGAAGATCAGATGTCTGGTCAGAAAGAATTAGCAACAAGAAACTCTGCGAGGTGACGTAACAACCAAGAAGCTTTCTCTCAGTAAATATCCTGACGAAAATGGAAACGGATCAGACGAATTCTTAGGAAGCTGTCGAATGATACCATCACATGTCAGACATACCCTTTAGTAGAACCAATGACATCCTACGAGCTGGCCTTGTATCCGAGGGTGGAATGTAGAAGAATGCGTAAGAAGGAGATGAAGGAGCGCTTATGGGAAATCATAGAGAAAGCTATAGAAAACAGCAAAGAAGAGGACACACACAATGGAGGTATGTTGTTGCAGGCCTTTATTCCACTTGGAACCTCAGGGAATTATCACCAAAATTCTCTCTGGGCTCGCCAGCCCATTTGATTTTCAGTATGGAGCCAGTGATGTGGGCAGCTGTTGATGAAAGTTTGCAACCTGTTGCACATCCTTACCGTGAAGGGCGCGCAGTGCAAGTTTCTGACCCCTATGGAAGAACTGACTAACTTCACATTTGTGTTTATGCATCTTATCAATCAAAAGCAGATGTTTCTAACTGCATCCTAGTAACGCATAAGACTAATATAATCACCAACATATTACTGCTTCGATAGAAAGTTATTTATCATCATTATTATCTCAATGCCATTCTGTTTACTGAAGTCTTTTTAAGTGGTTCAAGATTTGCGCATACGCTTTCATCCCCCTCCCCACATGATCTCTCCCACTTCACCCTCACAGTCCTATTGAGGTCCCACTAGAGAAGCTGTCAAGCGATGTCACTCAAAAGCCTTCTCAGAGTGTATCCTACTAAATGGCCAGCCATCTGATTCTCACTATCATCAAGTGGAGGCGGCAGCTGTTGACGAAAGTCTATAGACTGTTGGAAATGCTTCTCGCTACACGTCTGAAGTTTGTGTACCACATAGAAGCACTAACTGACTTTATATGAATGATGAAGGCTTAAATTTTGTTTCTTATGCCAAGTGAAGCAGATTTCCACACCGATTTCAGTCCTGTCTTGCTTTCTCAATAATCCTGGCTATGATGTTCTCATCTATGTCACCTGAAGCTGGAACGATGACGTCTAGATAAGTGACTCCCTTTGAATTCCTCTCGTTGATGATGACGATGAGTGCTTATTTTAATGAAGTTGTTTAATCATAGCGTAGTTGATGTTCTCTGTGCGCATCTAAACCATCCAGCTCAGAAAACATGACCACACCAAAATAATCCATCTGAGCTACAAATCTCCATCATATTTGAAGGGTTATTCAAGGGTGAGCTAATATACAAATCTAACTATAGTTTATGCGGTAAATGATAGCTGAAAGAGAAATGAAAATGCTGGCCACAAGAGGATTCGAACTAGCGGCCTCCAAGTAACTAGTCTTGAGCTCCACTATCACATATATATCTGATTGATATGTTGCCGTCCCTGTATCATCAGAATCGCTAACCAGCTGGATCTTCATGTGTCAACCCCACTCATACTGATTTAGAAGGAGGGAAGAATACTGACAGTTGACGATGAGACTATCTGAGATGACCCTGCGGTTGACTAACTTCTATTGATGCGCTTAGTAATCAATAAAGTTGAAATGTATATAAGAGTAAATATATATTCCAATGAAGCTTGAGAAAATCAAATTATAGATATTATCGTTTGATTACAAGTTTCCTTCTAAATTTTACCATGGATATCACAAATATACATGTGCAGCACTGTGTACTGAAAAGAGAAACTGACCAAGAATTTTTCCGGGCGCTCCAGTTCAGTGGAGACTTGCCTAGTGAAGTTCTGCGCCACCCTGCTGCCACTCTTTTTCCAGCATACCAATTATGAAAGATACACTATCTAGCTGTGTCGCTTCTATGTGCTCTTGTAGAGAAAGCCAAATAAGATGCACAATTAGACAGCTTAATATACACATTAGTAAGCACATACCTTCGTAAAATGCTAAAAAAGATAAGTCTATAAGAAGCTCTACTTCGTCTCATTTGATTGATACAGGGTCACCAAATCGACAGAAAAAGCGTTTTCAAGGTTATCAATCCCATTCCACTGAACATTTCGAACAGAATTGGAACTTGTCTTTTACACGCCACGATTAGAAGTCCTTCTCGAAACATTATGATGCAAAAAAAATAAACGCACGTGAAATATCCAAACTTCAATTGAACTGACTATAATGATACTTACAAATTGTAAACATATAAAATTACCTACATACATTTTTAGTTACTTATAACTTTAAAGTAGTTTAAGCATTTCAGTTAAAATTAAATTAATCATACGCATGTCGTCCTTCGCATTCCGAATGCACCAATCTCGAAATGGAACTTGAGGACTCAAGCATTGAGCTTAGCAGTTTCAGTAACTATGGATCGAGTTATTAGCTTTACGCTCAACCTTCCAAATATTCCAAGGCTTATCATCGGCTGGTAAACTAAGTAACTAGACGCATTATCAGCTTTAATACTGCCTAAAATTCGACCAGTGTTGGCAATTCATCCCCTTAAATACATTTCCAACCTTTCGAACAAGTTAATTCTAAAGTGTTTAGAAGACAAACAATGCAAGATAACCTAGATATCATTTGTTAGAATTTTGATCTCCCATTCTCACTGTGTCACGATTTAAACGCCTACTTCAAATGTGTACAAGGGACGTATAATTCCAGTTTGACAACGCTGTTTACCGCCAAAAATAGATGCTCTAGCAATGAACAGTTCACTTAGCCCTCTGTTAGCAGACAATTTCATTTCTAACCTTGAGAGAACAAAACTGAAGCATGCAGTCGATGTGAAAGAACTTCTTTATTGTCGATATGCCTACGACATATTTCTAGTGGGCAACAATGAATGTGGTCATGCTTCCTACGTGCTCGCTCAGATTATTCAACGACGCGCACGAAAATCTTAAAATTCGCCATGGAACATGGAAATGGTGCAAATTTTCACTTCCATGATATTTCCACATGACGCCTGGAAGATGGTAGAGTCTGCCGACGTCAATTTACCGTAAGTCTACGTGAAATGGACAATGCTTACATTTTATTAGCTTTTATGGAAGTAGTTATAATCGAGCGATAGGTGAGACTCTGTTTTATCATATCAGCAAAAATACGCTCTACAAAAAAACCAAATAGAAACCTTTTGATTCTCACATAGATGTTGAAAAACAACGATTACCCTGAGATGTGAAGGCTAAAATGCTAAACAAATCACAGTGGAAAACAAGCTTATCTTCATTCAGCTCGAGTTTGAAGTTAACACCATTGCAGGAATAGTCAACAGAAGATTGAATGTCTCACTAGCCACAGCCTATCTTGTAAATAATTCGGATTCCCGATTATCTGACGACATGCCCTCCAGTGCAGTCAAAAGTCGATAGATACCCTTCTCATGTTAACTCCAACTGTGTACACAAATTTACGTGTATCTCTGGGAGCAGTTACATTGGGAGAACAGAAGGAAAACGGGTACACCTTCGATTTTCTGAACATGTGCCGAAAAGCCTACGTCTCAAGGGAACAAACTCTTATAATGGCGCTATTACCAGACATCTCCTTGATACGGGTCATGAGGTAGGTGGAAATCGCGAAATCCTTTAAAATTATCAATACACAAAACCGCTCAATTCTATTCAAGTTTGAAGAAGCGTCCCCTATCAACCGCCTGAAACCCCATTGACGTGTGTGTTCAGAAGGAAGCAGTTATCAGTCTTCCCCTCTTCCGACTGGTAACCGGATGTCTTTATTCTTTCTTTCAATTTATTACGTAATCTTTGTCTTTAACCTCCCTTCCACTCCCATCTTATAATTTGTATTTTTGCTTGTCTCTTGTTTCTATGATTTCAGTTGAACTCAATACATTGTTACCTAATTTATTAGTCACTCTGCAACTTACGCATCTCTCGTCTTTATTACGCAACTAACTCTTTTACCACTGTATGCGTACATTTATTTTGTTTAAACTTGAACTCCCTGTGTAAAAACTACATAAGCGCAATTTTCTGAGCACTGTTCACTAATTGTGGAATCTTCTGTCAACTGACATCATGAAAAACAATTTGCAAGTATGTTAAAACTTTTCTGTACATAAACCTCATAATTTATTTAGGCTGTAAGCAGGCAGCTGAGCTGATGAGAAGCCAACGAAATAAACAATGATGGTACCATCTCCTTATTCTGCACAAACCATACTGTTGTTCTTGCCTTATTCAAATTCGTCTAAGGGGTAGAAATGCAAAAAATAAGCAGTTATCCCTCTTTCATTGACTTGGTAACTGGATATTTTTATTCTCCCTCACTTGATTACGTAATCCCCAGTTCTAATCTATACCCCGCTCCCGAACCTTTATGGATTGTTGACCCTGCTTGAATCACTAGGCTGCCTGAATTCCCATCCAAGACAATGCACAAACCACATTGTTGTTATTGCTTTATTCATTATTCATTTAACATAATTAATATGAAATTAATAACATAACATTGAATGTTGGATGGATAACGCTGATATTGTGCTTACTTCATCTTATGTACAAAAATCGATAACATCATCATCATCACATTGGATTTCCTGTGAGCAGCAGCAGAGAGGGTTCTGTTTATCTCCTATTCATTCATCACCAGCATAATCATCATCATCATCATCGTCATTGTCACCGGCATCATCACCTTCATCATCGGAATCAAAAACGTAACGAACACGTTTTGTTACACAACGTCTAACATTCACCCTGGGTTGTTTTTCCTTTTGAGAAGTTGTTGCAGCTTGAAGATAATAGACAAATAGAAAAAGCAATTTGTTAATAACATACATACAACAGAGAATATTATGGAAAGTAGCGACTGAGAATTCAGCAAATTTTCAAGTATTGGTTTTGTAGAGATTTTGTTTGATTGCATGGAGGATTTCATCATGAGCTGACATCAGTTAGAGAGACACTGAAAGAGAACTGGAGAGTACTGGACAGCTGAAAATTAATCTGATGCTAACTAACTACTTGCCCTATTCAGGCAGTTAACCTGGGGTTCTAATGAGAAGCCGTGACCAGTAGGTAGGGTAGAGCAGGTTGGAGATGAGGTAGTAACTCATCGAAGAAGACACTGCGAAATGGTCGCGCTATGTGATGAATTGACAGAAGTTAGAATTCAAGGACCATTGGATTTGGTCCCAGTGGCTCAATGGTCTACGAGTTAGCTAGCCATGTAATCAGAACCACGTTGGGTGCGTACTGATGAAGAGTCTCAAACTAAGACGAAACAGCTGTCCAGCACTCCCAGGTTTTCCAGTGGTTCTCTAACTGATGTCGGCTCATGATGAAATACTCCATGCAATCAAACAAAAATCCCTACAAAACCAATATTTGAAAATATCGTTAATTTGTCAAGCAAGAAACCAACGTCACATAGTAATTTCATATTAGTTTGTTAATTAGATGCATCGCACACAGTGAGTGTAACAGTATCATTTACTGGATGACACAATTTCGAACAAAATTTACTGTTCATAATCACTCCATCAATTATAATCACACGACTTCGAATCTTGAGTTTTATAGTTTTCTTTGTTCTCTCCTATTTGTCGTCGTTAGGGTAGTGAAATTTCCGGATATCTGGGACAGGTGTCGAAAATGTTTCGTCTTACCTTTTACATTAAAAAGTTAAGACAACAAGGTATCAGCCAACCTTTAGTTCTGCGATTTTTAAACTCCTGTATTTTACCCATTTTACTTTATTGTTCTCCATTAATCTTTCCTGGGCTTCTTAAAAAAGACTATGCCGTTTTACGAAGGGTAATAAATGCTGTGAGTAGGGCTTGTGGTTTGCCACTGCGTGATCTCGCCAATACCATAGTCGAGAGACACGTAAATTCCTGTAAAAATTGGGCAAAGGCCGTACTGTCAGACCCTCTGCACCCTCTTTATTCACAATTATCCCCTTGTATCTCATCAGGTAGAACGAGAAGTCAATATAAGAAATTATATGCTCGTACCACTAAGTACAAAAATTCTACAATACCGTACTTAGCCCGTATTTTATGTGATGAAGACACTGTTAGACGTGAAACATATAAGTTACTATGTAATTAGCATAGTGAATCGACCCTTTCATTGTTCATCTTTCTGTAATTCTATGGTGTCACCCTTTCTATCGTTTAATTATAACTTTGCTATTTTTATTTTAGTTGTTATTACTATTATTACTATAATTTTATATTTTTCTCCTTATCCTCTACTGTAATTGCTACATAGCTCCTATAAAAACGTTTTGTTATCATTATAATGTATTAATTATTCCGTTTATCTACTTTTTTTGTTTGTTGTTGTCGTTTTTGAGTAAATTAGATGCAATACTGTACTGAATGCTGAAAATTCCTTGCTGTATCATTATTACTGTTTTTTGGAATAAAGCAAAAAATTATTAAAAAAATTATTATTATTAATCATCCCGACTACACGTATTTGTAGTTGATTCAATGAACAAAGCTTCTGTTATCAATCTCTCCCTACACCCTGCTGCATTAGATTTTAAAACTGTAGTCTTATCCCATCCTATTATTATTATTCGGGTCAACCAATCTAGATTTTGCTGCTAGGTGTTTATGTTCGGCTAGTCTGACTGCTCCCGTTCTACTAGTCTGACCTATGTATTTGACCTGACAATAGTCATTCCAGCAGGGTATGAGATAAACTAAATTGTTTTGTTTTAAAGGCTCCACAGGACTGATCCTTTAACCGACACAGCTTGTTTCTAATTGAGTTTGTGGTTGGTTTGAATGCTAGCAGCCACTTTTATTCCTGCCAGCATTGTTAAGAATTCTGCGTAAGGTGGTTTCCAAGGTTCCTTCTTTCTATGTATGGAATTACTACTGATGATTTAGATTCCTTATTGTTGGTGTTGTCTTGCGCATGTTTGACATGCATGTAGTCATTAATATTACTATTATTATTAATGATAATAATAATATTGCTATCATTACTATTATTATCAATATCACTAAAACTACTATCGTTATTTTATTTTCACATTTCCCTACGTAATTTCTGACTAATTTATCAGGGTAATTATTAATTAAGTTTCAGAGCTTCCCTTATATGCCTCACTTCCTGTCTTAAATTTTCCTTGGTCCATATATATTAATGTCGCATAGTGCCAAAGCACTGTTCACTGGTAAAAAATTACTTCAGAGATCGCTTTAAACGGGAAGTGACTACTTGAAAATGTATAAACAAACGTATGATATTTTTCTGAACATAAAAAGTATTTTTTAAAAAATTTTAATGGAGCATTTAACTAATTAATTAATGTAATAAAAAAAACCTGTATTGTCGTCAGAATTTTCATCCGAAGAGATCGGTTTGCTCTTCTTTTGAGCAGGCTTGAACATTGACTTTATGATTGGTTGTGATCTGGCCGGAGCTGATAACTGACGAGGCTTACCACCACCACGACCACCACCACCACCACGGCCACGACCACCACCGCGACTTGAGGCAGTAGCACTTCCAGCTACTCTCTGCGATGATCCAGAACTAAGATTGTAAAAACAGCAAATACGAATGTTACAATGTTGTATATGCACAAGTGAGCATATTCAAATGATCGAGAGATGGTGTTAAATAACTAACTACCCTATAAAATTCATTAGGAAGATCGAAAAAGGCCAAAAGCAAAATAAAAATAATTGTGAAACTAGTAATGTTATATCATATAAGGAGGAGACATCTGAGACCCTCCCTACGTAGGATTCTTAATAAAGCAGGAATTAGGGTGGCATTCAAACCTACAAACTCACTGAGATAGGACAAGCTCTGTAGGCTGAAAGACCCGGTGGACCCAATTAAACAAAATAATATAATTTACAAAATACCCTGCAATGACTTTGACTTAAGTCAACTACATAGGTCAAACTAGTAGATCGGGGGTAAGAATGGTTGACCCCGAGAAGATGAGTAATTTGGAAAAAAGCTCAGCGATTGCACTACATGCATTAACACACAACCACACAATAGGGTGGTGGGATAGGGTTAAAATTCTAAAAAGTAATCTATGTAGGTGAAGAGAGAGATTGATTACTGAATGCTACCTGGTTCATCGAGTCTACACCCAACACAACACATGCAACAGAAATGACTCAATGCAAATACCAGAGATTTGTATGGAAGATATTATTACCACCAGTCAGTCAAATCAGAGGAGGATAATAAATAATCTCAAAATTCTATTTCAATTCAATTCATGCACATCACAACATTCTAACAAGTTACTTATTTTTACTGTAAAAAACATCTTATCTCGCATCTGACTGTACTTGATTGATAACAGTTATATTACTTCTGAATGTACTTTATCTCATATTGATTTTATCCAAATGTCTAATCATCAGTTTTAACTCATGTATATAAATGAAGTAAGAAAGTTGTGTGAGTAAGTGTCTTGATACGATTATGAGCAGTAATAATTTGTGCTCAAAACGTGGTCATCAGTAAATATTACTGTGTAACAGCAATGCGTGATTTATCAAAATAAAATCTGATCCATAATGGAGTTATACTCAACCACAGTGCCCGAGTTTTATACTTATATCAATAGAGAAATAAATTGTTGACAAATAAACACGTAAATATTGCCACAAAAATAAAACATAAGACATGATTACTTACACAGGTTGTTCTGACACACCGCTATTACTACCGCTACTTTGTGGAACTGTTTCCTTCGTCTTTGGAACAGCTGGAACATCGGGTACTTCAATTTCTTTATCACCCTGTCCATGATCAACAACTTTGAAACTATTTTCTGAACCATCTTCCTCACTACTTTCATTGTCAAAAACATACTTCACAGAAGCTGCTGCTGCACGTCGAGCACGATTTGCAGCTAAAAAAATATAATGTCGGGTAGAAGAAAGGCAGGAGAGTTAAGAGCACACTACTCACAGGCAAATAGTTAATGTGTATGTACCAGTTCACCTGTTTCTGTGCAGTCAGCCAGGTACATCGGTCGTTCATTCTGCATCCTGTCAAAAAGGGTCAAACAACACTATCCACCGTGGCTGCAGAAAGGAAGTAGTGGCCGTCTATGAAGTGTGCAGTAATCGAACATCTCGTCAACACTGGTCATTCCATCTCAACAAACGCCCACTACTTCAAAGTAATGTACAAAGTGAAGAACAACGTTTCCGTCTTCTTTGCATTGCAGAAGCCCTAGCCATTCAGCTAGAAGAACCAGAACTATGTATACAAAAGAAAATTATTCAGCCACTTCTGCTCTCATGGTGACGACTCCGCTAATTTGACTTAACAAAGTAAGTCTTTGACGCTTTCCTTGCACTATTATTTGACCTGTTGTGCAACAGAATCCTACTTCGTTAAAATAGATTGATCAAACGGTTGAAACCTCTAGGAACTCGCCCCAACATAAGGTTTTCCATTGGCTAGAGGAGAAGTTGTAAACCATTCGCTGACGGCTAGCCGTGCACACCATAAGAGACTCATTTCATTTCATCGAAAGTATGAATCACATGAACGTTTCAAATAAGTACATGGCGTCATTTGATGCAACCTCCTTGTTCACAATGACCCCAATCAATGAAACCATTGAGGTCATTTGGCAACAGCCTGATTTTCTCCCACTACCAGAGTCAGAATTCAAGCGCCTACTCCTAATGTGTACAATGGTTGTATAATTCCAGTTTGGCAACACTCTTCACCGACAAATAGATGGTGTAGCTATGGACAGTCCACTTAGCCCTGTTTTAGCAGATATCTTCATGTCAAACCTTGTGAAAACAAAGTTGAAGCATGCAATTGACCAAACAACTTCCTATTGTCGATATGTCGATGACACATTTGTAGTGTATAACAACGAAAGTAATGCTTCCTACCTACTCAGATTATTCAACGACGCACATACAAATATTGAATTTACTATGGAACATGAAAATGATGGAAAGTTCCATTTGCTTGACATTGCCATGCAACCATGTCATGGAAGATGGTAGTCTCCAGAGGTCAATTTACCGAAAGCTGACATGGAATGGGCAATACTTACATTTTAATATTTTTTGTTCAAATAGCTATAAACGAGCACTAGTCATGACTCTGTACCATAGAGCGAGGAAAATATGTTCTGCAGAGAAACTAGAGGTAGAATTTACTATTCTCGAAAATGTGTTGAAAAACAACGTTTATCCTCAAAGATTCATTAACAAATATGGAAGATATGAAGGCTTAAATATCAAACAAATCACAGTTGAAAAAAAGCCTGTCTTCATTCAACTAGAGGTGAAAACATTGCAGCAATGGTCAACAGAAGACTGAGTACGTCACAAGCCACAGCCTACCCTGCAGCTCTTCGGGGCAATCAAAAGTCGACAGATACCATTCTCATGTTAACTCCAACTGTGTATTCAAATTTACGTGTATCTGGGGGAGCAGTTACATTGGGAGAACAGAAGGAAGAAGGGCACACAACCGATTTTCTGAACATGTGCCGAAAAGCCTACGTCTCAAGGGAACAAACTCTTATAATAGCACTATTACCAGACATCTCTTCGATACGGGTCATGAGATAGGCGGAAATCGCGAAATCCTTTAAAATTAGCAACACAGAAAAACGCTCGACTCTCCTCAATTTTGAAGAAGCAATCTCTATCAAACGCCTGAAACCAGATTTATGTGTTTAGAAAGAAGCAGTTATCAGTCTTCCCTTGCCCTAACTGGTAATTGGATGTCTTTATTCTCGCTTTCAGTTGATTACGTTATCTTTGGCTGCAGCCTCACCCCCCTCCATTTTATAATTTGTATTTTCCTTGTTTCTTCTATCTATGTTTTCAGTTGAACTCAGTACATTGTTACCTAATTTATTAGTCACTCTCCATCCCCTTACGCATCTCTCGTCTTTATTACGCAACTAACTCCTTTACCATTCATTGTATGCATACATTTATTTTGTTTAAACTTGAACTGCCTGTGTAAAAACTATATAAGCGCAACCAACATTAACCAAATAAAAAACATAGAAGGTACACATCGCATATAATAATAATAATAATAATAATAGCAACGATAAAACACTCACCAGTTGTTGGTGAAACAACAACGTCATTATCCATAGATACTTCACTTCCGGATGCTTCACTATCGGTGTCCGAATCCCAGGGATTACGATTAGTGCGTTTACGCTTTTCACCAACACGAACATTTTTGCGTTTAGTAGGAGTAACCTCTATATGAAACAAAATAATAGATATTTTATTCGTAAAATATGATCTTCATTAACCATGGCAACTGTATACCCACTATCTGAAAATGGTACGCACAAAATGAAAGACAAAACTATTTAGTGAAGGACATTATTATTATTATTAGTGCTCCCTTGGGTTCCTAGTGGAACATAGAGCTTCAACTACACGTCTCCACTTCCTTCTGTCTTCTGCTGTACTTTCCACCTGCATCCATGTTAGTCCATACTGTTTCAACTCTTCTTCACACGATCCCCTCCATGTCACCCTTGCACTGACGTCCGACTTGCCGCTTCCCTTTCGGGTTCCACTCGAGCTATGGCCTGACGCGCGATGTCACCCAACGGCCTCCTCAGCGAGTGTCCAAACCATCTCCACTTTCTCCTGCATATTTGGTGAGCGATTGGTTCCTGTTTTGTTTCTTCGTATAGTTTTTTGTTGGTTCTTGTTCTTTCCGGCCATCTGATCTTCAGTATAGAGCCAGCGAAGACAGTTGTTGATAAAGGTCTGCAACAGGCTGTTGGAAATATTCTTTGTGACCCGCCAAGTTTCTGATCCGTATAGAAAAACTGACTGACTTGACGTTTGTATTGAAAATCCGAATCATTTTGTTGTTGATGCTGAGTGACTAAGATTTCCAGATTGGTTTCAGGTTGATGAATGTGTTTCTCGAAGCGAAGGACATAGATGATAATAATAGAGAATATTTGTAGCACAGACGGATGCTGATGATATGGCTGCGTTCTCTGAGCTGAATGATAAAGGTTGTCATTATTATTATGACTTACAATTATTATCATTGATGGAGAATTTCTAAAAGCCGACTGCATATTAAAGCTTGCGCTAAAGATGTTTATCTAGAAGAACGAAAGCGCCTCCCAAATGTTCAGAGATCGCAGCCATGTGTCAAAAGGACACAGGCTTAAAATTCAAAACGATGGATACTTGTGATTCGATTCCCAGACGACTAGTGTACAAGGAAGTGATCCGGTTCTATTTTGTATATTGTCTAAGACCGGTAGGTTCTCCGAGGATGCTTGGCTGTAAAGGGAATGCCGAGAAAATACATTGCACTGATCAAGACACTCTACTCGAACTTACGCAGCCAGGTGATGGCTCAGGGCGAGTTATCATCTGAAGTGGTGACAACTAGTGGTGTACGTCAAGGATGCCCCACTACCCCCATTTCTATTCAATTTCATCATAGATGTACTAATGGACCTAACCCTAACTCGCTTCAGAGACTCAGAGATTGACTTGCTACCAGGGAATAATCTCGCTGACTTAGTATATGCATATCATATAGTCCTCCTAGGCAGGGACGCTGACAAAATGCAGCGTCTTCTGAACACCTTGAGCTGCAATCGACGAATGTTTGGCATACGATTCGCTCCCGCTAAATGTAGGATGATGTTAGAGGACTGACTCCTAGTTCAGAAATAGGGAGTGAAGTGGTAGAGCACGTTGACCACTTCACTTATTTGGGAAGTACCATCAGCCCCAACGGATTGATCTCTGAGGAAATCTCAGCACGGATACAGAAGGCTAGTTTCGCATATGCCAGTTTACGCCGTCTCTGGCATAGACGTGATATCCGGTTATCGACCAAGGGGCGTGTGAACAGCTCAGCAGTCCACTCCGTCCTCCTTTATGGCTCTCAGTGAGATCTGACCATTGAGAGTGGAAGACATGAAAAGATTAGCTGTCTTTGATCATAGGTGTCTGCGATCTATCTCCCGTGTGAAGTGGTATAATAAGGTGAGTAATATTGTGGTTAGGCGTCGAGTACTAGGTAAGGAGGGGAAATCAATCGACGAGGCTGTGAAATTACATCGACTGAGATGGTTAGGACATGTGTTACGTATGTCTATCCATCGCCTTCCTCGACGATGGTCAATGTTTGCTGTCATAGGATGGATCAGGTTGGAAAAGAGCTAGTGATGTTGGTGGTCAAACCGAAACATGGCTTCATCAGTCAATTAAATAAATTCACAACAGTTAGTTTACTCCAGTCACTTAGGAAAATGTAGTCTTTCTGGTTGGGGTCTTCGCGACGGTAAAAACAATGTTTGGAAACAATTGGTGATATGGCTCAAAATCGTTCTCAATGGCTGGCGCAGATGAATCCACTCCTTGTGACTTACGATCTCAAATGAAACTATATTGTTCGTCGTTATTAGTATTCCTTTGTCTCACACCTCTGTTTACTGTCTGTATTATGCATTTCTTCTACTTTCTTTTCTTGCTTTATGTGCTACATGGAGTGTGGCGACTTCAACTGCTGCTGCACATGGGTGCAAAGTTCTTTGTCAAAAACAGACAAACAGCAAAACTAAGACGTAAAGTAGGAGGAGAATTAGGGCACCGCGTGGTAGAATATAATTCCGTATTCAACGGCACAAAAATAGAAATTTGATAATACCTTCATTCTCACTCAATAGCAATTTTAACCTTAAATTCCGTATTCGTTGTGGTTTACATTGACTGAAGCAATCGGTTTTCACCCGATGGATGCGTCAAAGGTTTGAGCCCCACCCCACCACCTACTTCTTCAGCCAGGGCAACTGAGTAGAATCATTAGCCCTCATATACGATAAGTGTCGCTGTTAGCCCCGGTGAGTGAAACATCTGTTCCGGGTAATTGAGCTTAAAACAATTCTACAAGTGTTAATAACTGGATTACCTAACACTGCATCATTGTGTTATATGAAATAAACTCATCTAATATGAAAGACTACAGTCTGGACCAAAATTTACTTGAATAGGCTATTATGGTTCGAGCCCCATGGGTGTGCACTGATGAAGAGTCCCAAACTAAGCTGACGAAACAGCTGTCCAGTACTCCCAGGTTCTTCAATGATTCTCTAGCCAATGTCAGCTCATGATGAAATCCTGGAACCAATCAATCAAATCCCTGCAAACCAACACTTAAATATTATGGAAAAATCACTTTAAAGTGTTGACCGTAACATGCGTGCGTTCATTACCTGCGCTAGAAGTTTTGGCGGGCTTGGGCCGACTGGTTCCCTCTGTTTTTCGTTTACCACGTCCGCTTACACTGGTTGTTGCCTTTGGTCCATCAACGTTATCAGAAATACCAAGGCGCTGAGAAAGAGGTTTAGGTTCATCATCGGCAACATTGCCTTCGTCATCCACTTCAAGAGCACTGCCCATTGCATCATCTTTGTGAACACATAATGAAATATAAAAAAAGATTTACAAATAAATTAACAATACAAATTTTAACATTTTTATGGCATTAGTACTACTCTATATGAAAAGTGTTAAACAGAATGATTTGCGTTAAAAATGCTGTATAGGCATACAGGTTTTCGGAACAGACTATTCCACTTTAAACAAAGTTCATACTTAGAACGTCTAGGCTGTTGTACCCATCATATTTAAAAACCTAACTGTATATCATAAGTAACATTGACAACTGACGATATCGTCTCAATGCAGTATGAGTCAACCGACAGTAAACATTAAGAGCTGGCTGCTAGCCAAATTGGTAGACAGTAATTTACGTCAATGTTTACGTCCCTGATATTACTCATGAGAAAAATATAAACAAAGACTGATTCAACAACCAATCACAGCAGACTTTGTTTGCGTAGGCGGATACAATTCACAGATAGAGAATCTGAACTTCAAGAAACGGCCACAAAGAGATGAAAGATTAACGTTCAGTGAGAAACCACCAATCAGAAGACTGTGTTTGTTTGCTTACAATAATCTATAATAATGTACATGAAAATCTATAAATATCTGTGGATATCCTAAATAAATGATCTGTTGCCTGACCCTTGTCTTCTGTCGTTGCAGACTAGAAAATACCTACAAAACTAACCTTCAGGTTTAGTTCGTTTCTTCTTAGTTCCTTCTACTTTTCGCATCATGTCTGCATCGACTTTTGGAACTATACGTCTACCCATAGGATCTGGTCTTGTCTCCTTAGCTAATTTGCGGGTTTTTGTGGCTGCTGCACGCCCAGCTTGTGTAACCGATGCTGCCTTCAATTTCTTCTCAGCCGCCTCAATTGCAGCAAGTTCATCGGCAGCTAATTCTGCCTCGGCTTTCTAAAGAAAGAAAAATTAATAAATAAATAATATTTGAAAGTTGAAAAATTAGTAATGAGTGAGTCCTCGCAAATAAGAAAGACAATGCACTCGGAGAACTTCTGAGGCGAAACGAAATTACATAATAAAATTTCTGGCCACTTGTTTCTCCGACTCTCTAGAAGATTTGGATCTTCTGAAAGAAATAACTACCCAAAATGGATACCCCCACCGAGATTCTTCTTTGTAGCAGCAACCCTAAGTGTACTATTCTCCAGTCGTTCACTGGTCTGCACAAACCCGAAAGACAAGATTTTCCAATTGACTATGTGCATTTTCTATGTGCGTGTATTATTTCACCTGTTGTTGTAGACAGCCAGGTACATTGGTCGTTGAACACGTATCCTGTCCAAAAACCGCTCACGAACACTACCAACCAGCACGGTTGCAGAAAAGCACCAGTGGCTTTATAAACAGTGTGAAAATTGAACAACACCTCAATCCACATTGGTCATTTTATCTCAACTCTTCTCCTTTACAGTAAAAGTGAAGAACAACCTGATAAAGGCAATACACTTTCGTCTTCTCTGCACTGCTGAAGGTCTAGTCATTCAGAGAGAAGACGGACCTCTGCATACCACAGGATATTTATTTAACCACTTCTTCAACCAACTTGGTTTTTGCCTGTAAGTCTATTATTTGTTATTATTATTATTACTGTTATTATTACTTCCTTTAATTGCTACAGGAACATAGGGCTTCAGCCGCACGTCTCCATTGTGTTCGGTTCTCTGCTAGAGTCTTCACCTGGTTCCAAGTCTGCTCACACGTTTTCATCTCCTCTTCACATGACCTCCTCCAAGTCACCCTTGCACTGACGACCAACTCGCCGCTTCCCTTTCGGGTTCCACTTGAGCGATGGCTTGTCTAGTGATGTCACTCACTTGATGGTTTCCTCAGCGTATGGCCAATCCATCTCCATTTCTTCCTGCCTATTTGTGTCACAATCGGTTCCTGGTTGGTTAACTCCCAGAGATCCCTGTTGCTGATCTTTTCTGGCCATCTGATCTTGAGTATTGAGCGAAGACAACTATTAATGAAGGTCTGTAGTTTGTTTGAGATGGTCTTTATGACGCACCAAGTCTCTGATCCGTATAGTAGCACTGACTTCACATTGGAGTTGAAAATCCGGATCTTATTTCTGATGCTGAGTGTTGTTGACCTCCACAGACTTGAAATTAGTGAAAGCTTGTCTTGCTTTTCCGATTCTTGCTTTGATATCCTCGTCAGTTCCGTTGGCCTGTAGTTGAAACGATGCTTCCCAGTTAGGTGAAAGAGGTTGTTTCTTTCAGGATCCTCCCATTTATGCTGATTGTTGTCTGTTGTTGTTGCTGTTGCTGTAGGTGTTGACCAGGAATCTTCATCACCTACCTCTGTTTTCTCTATGTTCACCTGAAGTCCCTCCCATCTTCGATGCTTCTTCTGCCAACTTGTTGCTTTTCACTTGCATATCTTCCAGTTTGTGGAAAATCAGATATATATATATATATATATCATCGGCGAAATCCACATCCTTCATGTTTTTTGTGTGGGTCCATTTCATGCCTGTCTCCTCGTTGTTCGGCCTGCTGTCTGTCGCATTATCCAGTCTATCGCAATCAGGAAAATCATTGGAGATAGTACGCAGCCTTGTATAACTCCCGTCTTCACTTCGGGGGATTCCGTGAGTTTCCCGTTGTGAATTACTCGACATGCAACATAGTTGTACAACTGTTGGATAAGATGTATCGGTCGGTTTTCGACCTAGAACTTTGCACATATGTGAGGCAGTTCAAGTCGCCACACTCCCTCCTTGTAGCACACAAAGGAAGAGAAGAAAGTAGAAATGTATAATATAGACAGTAAACAGAGGTGTGAGACAAAGGTATAGTAATAACGAAGAACAAAACAGTTTCATTGGAAATCATAAGTCACAAGGAGTGGATGCATCTGCGCCACTGAGAACACTACTACCTCTTAGCTATAAAAAGCTTACCTTATATTCCTCCTGTAACTTGGCTAGATCTTCACGCCATAAATCTGAAGGCGATTTACTCTTCAATATGCGTAATTCGCTTCGTTTAGCATCTCTTTGCGCCAGTAAATCATCTTTACGCTCTTTTGTTAAACTCCACAAAGGCATATTCAAAATGTAATTATAATCAGGTTGACCGGATTCAGGTATTTCAGACTGAGAGGCTGACGCTTCAGCTTCCGCTTCGGCCTCTTCTGCAGCAGCTGATTTGTCTATGCTTTCTTTCCAAGCTTTGACTGGATCAGAATCATAATTGGCATCTTTCAGCATACGAATCAACTCCTTCTTCGGTTTATTTTCTATCGTTATAATCGACTGAATTTTTTCAAGAACAAATCTCGCCTGGTTTTCCAATTTTAGAGCTTCAGCAGATAAAACACCTTCTAGGTAAGTTTTACGCTTCTCATACCTAAGTAATTTTTAAGGAAAGGTAAAAAAGTTTCAAAAAGGCATGAATAACCAAATTATAGATATCGATAGAATATCCAGATTCAGATAAATACGTAGCATTATGTAGGCCTGATCAGACTTTCGAAATGCAGAGACATATAATATGAGTATGCACTTTTGATTGGACACCAGTAACTTGTGTGACGTATCTAGTCCTTTATTTGGTGAAGGCTGAATTTTATCAGTCAGGTTTTGCAATGTGGCCACCATTCTAAGTAGTTCGCCATCACGGTGCACATTGATTTGATGATATTAGATAGTGGTTGGAGGCAATCGGCCGAAGGAAGCCCTGCTCGACCTAGGTTTCATGCTAGTTGGCACTCCCCAGTAAGCCATGTCCTTTCTGAGAATCGAACCCGTGTCACCCAGTGAGAGCTGCTAGTCACTATCCACCAACTAATCTACTATGTTAGCTGTTCACAAAATATGTAGTGCAGACCATAGATTTTCTCGAGGAGTGGTAGGAGTTTTGGTCTAGGCATTCGATTTTAACAAAGCCAAAGGCGTCAGAGATGTGAAATCTAATTTACCTGATAAACTTTAGGCAGGCAAGTAGTAGTGTCAGACACTCCTCCAATAGGTTTAAGTGGTTCCTAGATTCGTAGAAATGCATGTTGTAGATGATTTATCACAGAAAAATATGAAAAATGATAATAAACTTTCGTAAGTCATCATTTTTATCGACCACCAAGGAGTCAGATGATGCATCACTAGACTGTAAAGGATTTTTCTTCAGAGTCGCCAGACTCAAACAAGATACCAACCTGAAAAGTGATTAACTACTGGTTTGATGCACGTTGAAAAGAGTAGATCTTCTTTCCGGGGCTCTACGAGTCAGGGACTGGAGACTGTTGGTGAAAATATTATAATTGCAATAATGCAATTACTGAAACTTACCAGCTGTTTTGACGTTGCAGTACTGATGAAAAAAGGCATAATTCTGCAGAGGGAATAAATCATATCGCGCGACTATCAACCTCAGTGCGTGAGTGATTGATTATCTTAACACAAACTCAGACTTCTTAAAACCTGTACACACTATTCTGGGAATTTGTACAGTTTCGCAATCGCATCTTATTACGCTTTTCTGTTCTTACTAGTTTTGCTACCCAATATTTCCGATTACCTCTTCAAACACTGAACCGATGCGTAAATTAGGACGTACAAGGACAAAAATAAAGAGATTGGAAGAATATTTGTGAGAGTCCACAAGATAGTTAGGCGAAAAAGAACTTTATCACGCATGTAAACGTAACTTACCAGGTAAGACGTAAATCAAAGAATTCCCGCATAATGGCTATCTCATTAGGGTAACATTTTAAACAACCCAAAGGATCAAAGCACACCATTGAACTAGTACTCATAACTGTTTGAAGTTTAAAGAATTTGTGCAGACCACCGGCCTCCGCTTCGCGTAATTTCTCCGGAGACATTTTCACTACGAATCGAACAGTAACATCTGTATGATACTCCTTATAATCCCTAAAATGCAAATAAATAACTAAAATGTAAATAATAATAATAAAAATTGAGGAAATTATTTTAGGGATTCAGTTATGCCTCATATCTACTGTCTTCAAATTCCAGGGCAAAATATATAAACAAACAGAAGATGTAGCAATGTAATGGATAACCAATATCCCCCCCCCTATCGTAGAAGACATATTTATGGACAGTTGGGAAAATATTGCTGTGAATACCTTTAATCCTACTCAAAAAATATGGTGGAGATATGTGGATGACACTTTCACTGGCAGTGTTAAAGAAAAACATATCTCCAGCTTCTTCACACACACATAAACTCACTAGTAAAGGGAATAAAATTCACATTTGAATCGGAAATTAAACAAGGAGAATTAACCATGATATCAGATTGTAAAATAAAGCGAATAGAAGAAGGTAAACTGCACACTAGCGTTTATAAAAACCAACGTACTCTGCTAATGGATATTTAGGCTTTAATTCATCTCATCCGTTACCTATCTGTAAAGGCAGGCTTAGTCAAGTGTCTAACAAACCGAGCAATAGCACTAATAAGTACAAGAAAAGACCTAAATGATGAAATAAAACAGATAGAAGAGGCGTTGGTGTTGAATAACTATCCTATAAAATTCATTAGGAAGATCGAAAAAGGCTAAAAGCAAATTAAAAATAATCGTGAAACTAGTAATAAGAACACAAATAAGAGAGAATATAAGTAATCTACCGTGGTTTTACCATATAAGGAGGGGACATGTGAGACCTTACGTGGTGGGATTCTTAATAAAGCAGGAATTAGGGTGGCATTTAAACCTACAAACTCACTCAGGGACAAGCTCTGTAGGTTAAAGGACCCAGTTGACCCAATTAGACAAAATAATATAATTTACAAACTACCTTGCAATGACTGTGACTGAGGTCAAGTACATAGGTCAAACTAGTAGGTCGTGGGTAGATTGTCAGAACATAAGAATTTAGCTAAGGTAAGAATGGTTGACCCCGAGAAGATGAGTAACTTAGAAAGAAGCTCAGCAATTGCACTGCATACATTAACACACAACCACACAATAGAGTTAGAGAGGGTTTAAATTCTAAGAAGTAATCTAATGTAGGTGGAAAGAGAGGTTGATTACTGAATCCTGCCTGGTTCATTGAGTCTACACCCAACACAACACATGCAACAGGAATGACTTTGTCCTGTAAGCAGCTGATGAGAAGCCAACGAAATGAACTATGATGGTACCACTTTATTCTGAAAAAGCTGTTGTTCTTGCTTTATTAAAATCATGTTTTATTGACCTTTGTAGTTTGTTTTAAATTCGTATCGGGAAATGAATGTTTGCAATTCTGAAAGTGTTTCATTTGCAAATATTGTGTTTTTGAGTGAGTGTTTCAACAGACTATTAGGGATAAGATTTTATTGTGATAAATCACACAGTGGTGTTATACAGTAATATTCACTGATGACCACCTTTCGAGCACAAACTATTGCAACTCATAATCATATCAAGATACCCACTCACACAACTTTTTCCTTCATTTATATACATGAGTGGAATTGATGATTAGATATTTGAATAGAAATCAATACGGGATAATGTACATTCAAAAATAATAGTACGAGTGTTATTGATCAATTACAATCGGATGAGAAATAAGACGAGTGTTTTATAGTCATAATAAGTAACTTGTTAGAATGTTGTGATGTGCTTGAATTGAAATAGAATTTTAAGATTATTGATTATCCTCTTCTGATACCAGAAATATGCAAGATATTATTACCAACAGTCAGTCAAATCAGAGGAGGATAATAAATAATTTCAAAATTCCATTTCAATTCAACCACATCACAACATTCTAACAAGTTACTTATTTTGACTTTAAAAACACTCGTCTTATTTGTAATTGATCAATAACACTCATATTATTATTTCTGAATGTACATTATCCCATATTGATTTTTACTCAAATATCTGATCATCAATTCCACTCATGTATATAAAGGAAGGAAAAAGTTGTGTGAGAGTACCTTGATATGATTATGAGCCATAGTTTGTGCTCGAAGGATGGTCATGAGCTAATATTACTGTATAACACACTGTGTGACACTTTATCAAAATAAAATCTTATCCATAATGGAATAATTAAACTTTGTAAGTGATGTATATTTTTTCAAGCTTTTTAGTAATGTACATATTATAAAGAAGAGAAGTAGTAGTGCACATACGTGATAGTGGCGGGGACTTTCTCTGTACCATTTAACATTGGCTCTAAAACGCTTTCCTTGTAGTTTTGTGTCCAAGTCCGGATAGGCAGTTCAGTAATTTCCACAGTATCATCATCCAAAACAGCAATTTCTCCGTAACAAGCATATCGATTGCTACCTAGGTCCTGAAAAAAAAAGATAAATTAGAAAATTAAACGCTGAACAGTGTAGTACATAAACACACCATCAATTGGACTTAGGTGTCAGTGTCATAGTTAGCCAAGACTTAAAAACTACAGCACACTGTTGCGCAATGGCTGCACGTAGTTTCAGGTCCTTATGAGCAAATTCGCAGAGCCTTTACTAGAATCACCAGAGATATGTTCACCTCCTTATATACATCTCTGGTGAGGTCAAAACTGGAAAACTGTATCCAAGCCGCCAGCAGTCCTTGTCTAAAAGGGGACTCACGCATTCTAGAAAGGGTTCAAAGGAAAGCAACACGTATGGTTCTCGGCATGACTAATTTATCATACGAGGAAAGACTAGACAGGTGGTTGGAACACCTTAGAGGACATAGCAGGAGAGTACTGGTTCTCACATCGAGTCATAAACTGTTGGAACCGACTCCTAGAAGAAGTGGTGTCTGCAACCTCAACTGACTCATTCAAGAAGGGTTTGGACAACCACAGAAACTTACTAGAAAAGGATTAACATAGGTTCCAAGCCTTCTATCCTCAACAAATAAATCTAAATCACAAAAATGTAGGGGGCATTGATGACAATGAAATATATTGTCTTAAGATTGTTTAAATTACCTCAATGACACCAGTGAAACCACGGAAACTGGGTATCATACGCTGTGGTTCCTCACCATCCAACATACGATAGAGATTAGCAATAATCTCTAATACATTATAATTGAGAATATGCGTTGCATAACCAGTTCCAATACCATCAGCTCCATTCACCAACACCATGGGAATAATCGGCGCATACCACTCCGGTTCAATACGCTGATTATCATCGAATAAATAGTTCAACAGAGGATCATCACCCAAATGAAAGATAAGTCGGGTGAGGGAATTCAGCGAAGTGAAGATATAACGAGGCGATGCAGCATCTTTGCCTCCACTGAGTCGTGTACCAAACTGACCGATTGGTAACAGCAAGTTTAAATTATTGGAGCCTGAAAACACAATTATTAGAGAAAAAGGAGAGAAAAAATAATGAGATTTTTGCATAACTAACAGTAAAATGACAAACACCTCAGTAATCATTTTAACGATAGAAAATAAAAAATAATAAATAATTTAATTTAATTTTTGATTACAGCTTGATTCCACACGGTAGTTTTTGGTACAGGTATGGAATTTTCAGCATGTGATATCGGTAGCACAAAGTTTGCAGGCCGACCATAGATATCAGGTGTGTGCGTCCGTAGGGGATCGAACCCCGGACTATGTGCATGGTTGGCGAGAGTCATAGCCACTGTGCCACCGACGCAAAGTTGAAAAATCAGTAGTGAGTGACTATTCACAAATAAGAAAGACAAGGTACTCAGTGAACTTCCGAGTGGAAACGGAATATAATTAAATTTCTAGCCACTCGTATCTCTGACTCCCTAGAAGATATAGGTCTTCTGAAAGAAATATCCATTCAAAATGGGTACCCGCACTGAGATTCTTCATTGTAGTAGGAATACTAAGAGTACTATTCTCCAGTCGTTCACTGGTCTGTAGTAACCAGAAAGACAAGATTTTCCAATTGACTACTACTTTTATATGTGCATGTATCAGTTCACCTGTTGCTGTAGAGACCCAGGTACGCTGGTCGTTGTTCAACACGCATCCTGTCCAAAACCGCTCACGAACACTACTAACCAGCACGGTTGCAGAAAAGCACCAGTGGCTATATAAGCAGTGTGAAAACTGAACAACACATCATCCCACACTGGTCATTTCATCTCAACTCCTCTCCTTTACAGTAAAAGCGAAGAACAACTTGATAAAGACAATACGCTTTTGTCTTCTCTTCACTGCTGAAGCAGCTCTAGTCATTCAGAGAGAAGCCGGACCTCTGAATACCAAAGGACATTTATTTAACCACTTCTATATAAGGGCAACAACCTTAGTGTTTTCTTCCAGCAACTTGGTTTTTGCCTGTAAGTCTACAACTCTTTCGAGTCCTTCATTTCCATATACATTCTGGGTTTAACGATAGACTGGACTTTTGAAGGACTTCTTCCTTGATGGAATATTTGCGATCACTACACAAAATGCACAACAATGCAATAAATAAACTGAGTGCACTAAATATCTTTTCAAATTTTTGAAAGTAATACGTAGTATAAAGCTTCGCCTCTTGCCGCCTTAAAAATAAGTGCCCTCTTATAAGAGAAGCATAAATACGGTAATTCATAATCTATGTTCAATTTAGTGTATCGAAATATCTATTGAAATATATAAGTCCTAACCCCCCCCCCCACACACACACACATTCATCTATTCTACCAACCATTCATCTTTTAACTGATTAAAAATGCCCATTAAACCTTTTTTCAAAAGAATGGATATTGAACAAACAGTACTCTTTTCGATAACTTCCTCATTGTCAGGTTCTATAGTTATATATAAATACATTATAGTGAATGAATGAATGAATTAGTGTTATGAACAACAACATTAATGCTGTTTAAATAACATCGAATCAATAATATCAGTGGATTACAGTTCAATAGCATCAACATAACAATAAATTGAATGTCAGAAGAATTAGGAAAGATAATATTACAAATTCATGAGTTTATAGTTTCTACTGAAGGCCGGTCAGGGCAGTAGTAGGGGCTGGCTGGACTCGCTTCTTTTCAACACAGAGCACTGGTTGTTTGAGGCGAATCGCAATAGCCTCTGCTGTTTGGAGCATGCGGTGCTTCGATGATTTTGGCGATTTATTAGGCACCCGGTAGATGATGATAAAGATTCTTCAATGCTGGCTGGCTGGCTTTGTGGCCGGCCGGTTTGCACCAGATAGTCCAATATCGAACTGTTAATGGTTTTAACTACACCTTTGCTTAGCCATAGTGGGAGATGTTCTCGAACGAGCACGAAAAATCAAGTTCCTAGAGCAACAACGGCCGATATAACTCGCCCACCACAAGCGCAGTTGAATTAGTAGATACAATTTGAACTGGATAGCTAGTCTAGGTACTTCATCTTTCAGTCGAGGTAGCACCATCGGTCGTGTAGGGAATAAGACGTGTAGTTTGCCAGCATTGAAAGTTCTTTGAACTGATTTTCCTAATTTCCTCGTAATTATCTCATTTGGTATATCGCCCTTGAATTGCATATAAAGAGGCTTCTTGTTTACGGATAGTGAGTAGTCCTTTTCTGTGTTTCTTGTGTCATGTGTTTCTTGATAAATTTTTCGGCATAGCTATTTTCGATCAAAGTATCACATACAATGCTTAATTCATCTTCAAATACTTCTTCTAAGCAGCATATAGCTCTAACTCTGTGGCTGAGGGTCTTCACTAAATTTCTTTTGTACTTGATAGGAACGAAGGTGTGAAAATGTGTGTATATTGTCCTGTCCAAGTACTTTTTCTATGCAAATTTCTTTTTCATTTTTTATAACCCGTCAACTGAACCATCACAGAAAGAGAAAATTAACTTTATCTTTCACCCTAGTGTTTTAATGTGTTTTTTTCAGATGATTCCATTTTTGAAAAGCACCAAATTTTACAGGTACCACCTAAAGTAATCTATCCATCAGCAAGTCACACAGACATTATTACCAGCAAAACAGACTGCGATATTGCTACAATATTATCTATATAAAAACAAAGTGTCTTAAAAACCAGTAGAAGTCTTACCAACAAAGTTTTGAGCCAAGCCGATGATGGTACTCATAAGCGATTGTTCACCATGGTGATAGGCTGATAATTCAGCAACGCTACCCGCCAACTGAGCAACTTTAATTTCTTTCACAAGATTCCTCTTCAAACAAGTGTATAGTACCTAACAATAAAAAGAAAGAAGTGAAACTACAGAGCGCGGTATTCTTAGATTTTACAAAGATGATCTTGACAACTTATAAATAAGATTCAAGACTATCATACGGAATTTCTTATTGTTTCCAATTTGATCGAACCATACTGATGAAAGTCTTTCTGAATCCAGATCGCTTGCTTTAACGGTTAACTTTATTATCGGATTAGTGAACTATGATCTGCTCTCGACTGAGAAATTTGCACCGACATGTGGCAGTTCAAGTCGCCACACTCCCTCCATGTAGCACACAAAGTAAGAAAAGAAAGCAGAAGAAATACATAATAGAGACAGTAAACAGAGATGTGAGACAAAGGAACAGTAATAACGACGAACAATATAGTTTCATTTGAGATCGTAAGTCACAAGGAGTGGATGCATCTGCGCCACTGAGAACGATTTTGAGCCATGTCACCAATTGTTCCCAACCATTGGCTTTTACCGTCCCGAGGACCCCAACCAGGAAGCCGGTCCACACCTTCCTACGTGGCTGGCTTAAACTAACAGTTGTGGATTTCATTGACTGGTGAAGGCATGTTTTGGTTTGACGGCCACTAGCTCTTTTCCAGCCTGACCCTATGTCAGCTAACATTGCCCGTCGGTCGAAGAAGGCGATGGCTAGGCATGCGTAACACATCTCGCAACCACCTCAGTCAATGTAACTTCACAGCCTCGAGACTGACTGACTGACAGAACTATGATAATAGAACGCACCAAATCATAACAAATAGGAAATGACACGGGAAAAAAGAGGTGAACAAAAACAAAAGCCTCTCAAGTGCTTAATTTACCTTCCTTTGACCAGGTTTTAATCCATCTACAACAGATGGAATGCTACGTTCATTGTCCAAATTAGAAAACAATACCAATTCCTTGTGAACGAAATCATGGTAGGTAATAGCTCTAGTGTCTTTACCATACAGATAAGGTTCTGGCAGACCCATTTCACGTCGACGTTTACGTTCTTCTGTGAAGTTAGTCAACCAATTCTTACGATCTGCGATTTTGCTTTTATCAAAAGCCAACTGGATACTCCCGTCATCTTCTGCTCCACTATAACGAAAACGAATTCGATGTCTATTCATATCGGAGAAATACTCTTTGGCTTCTTTGCTTGTAGAAGTACCCAAACCTACAACCAGTGAACAGAGAAGAAAACTTTGAATGTTGATGATCTTCAAATAAAGTTTACTGGAAAAGTTCATATCAATATTTTCGAAATTCTTGCACAGTTAGTACTGATTACGCGATCTAACTATGCAGAAAATACTTCTGTGTACTTACTGGCAGTAGTGTAAAGAGATTAAACTCTGCACCAGAAACTTGCTCTGCATCCGATAAATATTTTTTAAGGCTTTTATCATCCTCTAACTTGTATGAAAAGCAGCCCAAAAAAAATAAGCACATCACGTTATTGCTTTAAGTATAATCTCCATTTATACTTAAAATGGAGGTAATGGAGGTAAAAATTGGCTGTAAATGAATGTGAACATTGAACGTTGGTTCATTGGCGGCCAGGGTCACCATTGGCGGGTAACTCGAAGACGCGAATGGTTCAATCGTGTACAAGTTGGAAGAAGACGAAAGAATACGAATAAAAGTATAGTGCATTCCTTGTAATACATTTGTTATTGTAGACTTTGTACGATAACGAATTTAACTGCCGAACAATACAATTTCTTATTGGTTCTTGTGTTTTGCAGTTGAAGTCGATAATCGTACCTAGTAATTGTCGATTCGGAGCATCTTCGCGAATAATAGGAACTTAAAGTTAAGTTCCTTGACACGGGTTTTCTCTTCAAAACTCCACGATTAGGATTACTGTTTGATAAACTCAAGGTACAACAAATATTCATGTATAATCCCCATCCAGGCATTGATGAAAACAAAACACGTAGTTTAGCGAAGAGTCTCTTTTCGGCGAATTCATTTTCTTAGCTGTACAATCGCAAATATATACGTGTTATTTTGTATGTATGTGTACAATAAGTTTATCAAACAAAAATACAATTGGTTATAGTTATTTAAACTAAACAGGTGAAGATTGGTAATTGGAGTTACGTAATACGAAATCAGTCAAGAAAATTAGGTGTTAGTGAAATTAGGGTAGTAACAAAGGTGATGAGTTGATTTGATTTTTTTTCATTTTGATGACTTAATTTTGTTTCTTTGCCTGTTCTTTAATTGATTATAATTCTTGTATTCATTTAGAACTCTTACGTAATTTCGTACTCTCTTCTTTGTTCCTATGTGTATCCTGAGTAAAACTCACTCATCAAACTATTCATACTATTACATAACTTCTTTTAACAACTGTTTGTGACAACTCATCACCTTTGTTACTACCCTAATTTCACTAACACCTAATTTTCTTGACTGATTTTGTATTACGTAACTCCAATTACCAATCTTCACCTGTTTAGTTTAAATAACTATAACCAATTGTATTTTTGTTTGATAAACTTATTGTACACATACATACAAAATAACACGTATATATTTGCGATTGTACAGCTAAGAAAATGAATTCGCCGAAAAGAGTACAACAAATACACTTTAACAATAAGCATCCGATCGTACTAGATTTTTTTGTTGAAATGTATTTAAACCTAGTAACGAAAACAAACGTTCCAATCTTGTTGACCAGCATAAATCAGGTAACCGGAAATTCAAGCTAATTAGAAGTAAGAAGTGTGAAATATCCCTACGCGGTATGTAATTCGTTTTGGCTATTCGGAATGGTACGACTACGGATGTAGTCCGAGGTTCGATCCCTGACACTGACGCAATCTTTTTACCTCGTTAAGCCAGTAATTAGACTGTCAAAGAGGAAAGGTTAGGCATGCGACTAGCAGCCCCCCCCACCCCAAGTAAAAATAAACACTGCTAACGCAACTTCAGGGCTCTCGCACTTGAAACCCTATATTCCACTGAGAACCTAAACGAATAAAAAAACAAATACTGAATGGCATAAAGGAAATCAATCCAGAAAATCCAAGGTAAAAAACCCACCTTTGTAGTATTTTACACGCCATGTGTGCCAGTTTGGCGTTGACTTTTGCCATTCTTCAAATTCTGGTAAACTATAGAATGAATGTTCCTGTTTCCCTTTGAAAACTTTTACTATCGGAGTAATAAACTCCTCCACTATATTGTGTTTAAGTAAGTTTGGCCAGTTGCAATGCACGAAGTTAATGATAAGACCCTTGATGTGTGAACCATCTTGATCCTGATCAGTCATTATCATAACCCTAAAAAGGAAAAGCAATTCGTATGGTATATATATATATATATATTTAATTGAATTTTAGATTTTCCCGTCGATTGATTTGGACCGAAGTGCTCGGTCTCAGGGTGACATGTCAGCTTCTTGTGCAGATGCTTCGACGACGTCTGGGCATTTAATTAGAATTGAATTGGTGGATGGTGACTAACAGTGGAATCCAGGATGTGCATTTCGTTCTGTTTCGGACTCGTCATCTGGATGTACCTGCATTCCGCAGTGAGTGATGATGTTCCCACCGAGGTTTGAACCCAGTGCCCATAGTTGCAAACGCCAAAGCGTTATCCACTAGACCACTTGGGTCACGAAAGCCACCTCTTGTGCACTGAGTTCGAGCCTCGGTGGGAACATCACTCACTGGGAAATGCAGGTACATCTAGTGACGAGTCCCAAATAGGACGAAATGCACATCCTGAATTCCACTGCTACTCACCATCCACCAATTAAACTTTTACATTTGTGATGCATTTAAGTACTGTATAATTTATCCCTTTTGCTTCATGATCCCTTTTTCATCGTGACATCTTTCTACTTATCAACTCTTTCTTCAAAGATAATTAGTACAACCCTAAGTACACCAAGAATAGAACTCAGATACCATTGAACATTAATAACCTTTCTGAGGTATGATTAGCAAATCACCAGCAAAATGACCACCTAAGAAACTGGATGGTTTCATTTAACATACGTGACTACTGGATGTTTGTTTATATAAAACTGTTGCTGAATTGCAAGTAGACTCAAATTTTAGGTTATAGGGAATTGAATTTCATCTTTAAGAACAGGATGTAAACCCAACGTCTGAAGATATTAGAGAGTTGGAGGCAATCGGCCAAAGGAAGCCCAGCCTTGGACCTAGGTGTCGTGCTAGTTGGCACTCACCAGTCAGCAAGGTATATCTGCGACCTTGAAGGAACTCATGTCCCTTCTAAGATTCGAACCCGCGTCACCCAGTACCGCCTACAGTTAGAGACGTTACCACTGAGCTATTCGGGCTCGCGATTGACCTCCTGTAGGACTGTAGTGGGTAGTTTGATTGGACACTAGTAACTAGTGTGAAGTGTTTAGTCCTTTCTTTGGTGCAGACTGAAGTCTACGTAGCTCGCCATCACAATGCACATTGATTTGATGATATTAAATAGCTCAGTGGTAACGTCTCTGACTGCAACACTGGGTGCCACGGGTTCGATTCTCAGAAGGAATATGAGTTCCTTTAAGCTTGCAGATACACCTTGCTGACTGGTGAGTGCCAACTAGCACGAAACCTAGGTCCAAGGCTTCCTGCGGATCGCCTCCAACTATCTAATATCAAGTCAATGTACACCGTGATGGTGAGCTACCTAGAATGGTGACCACATTGCAAACCTGACTGATAGAATTCAGTCTGCACCAAAGAAAGGACTGGACACGTCACACTACTTACTAGTGTCCAATCAAACCCAACGTCTATTAGATGTCTCTATTAGTAAACAGATATAGAAACTTATTCTTTAGAAAATCATGTTTACATTGAAGAATGACAATCCTACCTGACTTTTTTAGGTGAAAGTAGACAAACATAAATTTCAAATATTAAACCGATGGTTAAAAAATCACTATGCCACAATTTCACTTCGCATCAAGAGCTTTCTTTAATTAACGTGAATCAATAACAAGGATAGTGACTAGATAAACGCGCGCTATAAAAAAAACCAAAATCACAAAATAAAGAACCTTAGCGTATGCGCATTGTACAACAACAAACTTACTTGCCGTAGCGTAAATCCTTCAGAGATTCTACAGTTTCATACTTTAGTTTATACTGTAGCCCAAGAATTTTAATCAAAGCATTGATTTCTGCATTCTCGACTATTTGTTTACTTGATGCCTCACGCACATTCAGCAGTTTACCTCGTAGTGGAAAAACGCCATAATTGTCTCTGCCAACAACTCCAAGACCAGCTACAGCTAAAGTCTTAGCTGAATCACCTTCAGTTAAGATAAGGGTACATTGGGATGAGTTTTTAGTACCCGCATTATTAGCATCATCCAATTTAGGAATTCCTTTGAGTTTTGAATGCTTGGATTTGTGACATTGTTTGTCCATTTTTTCCATTGCTTTAAAACGAATCCAAGATAGCACATTCTCCACTATACCAGACTTGGAAGCCTACACACACACACACACACAACAGATGGATGCAAACGCAAAAGTTCAAAAAGTCAATAATCAAGAAAACAAGACTACACAAATAAGCAGCAGTGTATGACAATGAATCAAGTCGATCACGGATTGATATCAGTTAGAGAACCACTGAAAATCAGCGCGGAGTACTGAACAGCTGTTTCATCCAACTAGTTTGGGAATCATCGGCAGTACGCACCCACTGGGGTTCGAACCATTAAAAACCAACTATAGAAAATTGATCTGATGCTCACTAGTGACTTGCTACAGGATGGAGTTTCCTGGGGTGGGTTCTAGTGAGAAGTCGTGACGAGTGAGGTCCATCCAGATGTCACGTGAGAGGATGGATGTCCCACTAATGACACTGGTTGGGGTTGCGCTAAATCACGAATTGGTAAATGTGAGAATTCATGGGGCTGGCCTTTGAATCGAGTCCAGTGGCTGAATGGTATACGAGGTTGCCTTGTAACCGGAAGGTCCTGGGTTCGAACCCTGGTTGTGGGTGCGTACTGCCGATGATTCCTAAACTAGCTGGATGAAACAGCTGTCCAATACTCCCTGCTTGTTTTCAATGGTTCTCTAACTGATATCAATGCGTGATCAACTCGTAAAAACATAACCCTTACAAACCCAACTACAGAAAATGAATCGTCACCGAATTTCTCATAAATTGCCATGGGACAAAAACACCCTACTACTCTAGAGGTCACTTTACTTTGACGGACTAAATTAACCAACTTGCCCTACTGATAACCTCCGAATTCGTAAACGAAGGTCTGAGATATGTCCGAGATATCAGTATACGACAAAGAGAAATGGACGAGAAAACAAGCTGCACACATGATGATGGTGGTCAATTAAAGATGTTGTGAATCGAAAAACGCTGACACTTTCTGTTTGGGTCAGATCAATTAATGCTGCATAACAACTATGTAAAAGTATTTGTCATCACAAGATGGCCTACGGAGCTTCGGTGTTTAAACTCCTGAAATTGTACTTCTGTAATCCCTATTAAATTTAGATCAGGTTTATATTCTTAACTTTTATGCAATGGTATCAAGATATTTTTTTAAATAGATAGTCTCCACTTTACCTTAACACGTTGACGTGTCTGTAAGGATGATATGTACTTTGCGCCGTCTAAGTGCAAAGTACTGTTACAAGATTGGCAGGAGCCTGTACCTGCACTCATTCCTGCGGGTGAACTGCTTGAAGTTGTTGATAAGTTTGTGTATCTGGGTAGTTGTGTGAGTGCTGGCGGAGGGGTAACGGATGAGATTTCCAACCGTACAATGAAGGCTAGGGTAGCATACATCAACTTGTGCCACCTCTGGAGCCGTCGCGACGTTAGGTCGGGTTTAAAATGCTTCGGTGCGGGCTGCGCTGCTCTACGCCTGTAAAACCTGGCCTGCATGTTCGATCATCGCTGTCTCCGCAGGATTGCTTGCGTTTGATGGCATCATCGAGTGATTAATTCTGAGGTTTGGCGACGTGTTCGAACACAGTGGAGATCACCATCCATTGAGTGTCGTCATCTGGCAACACCGGCTCCGGTGGCTTGGACATGTGCTGCGAATGTCATCCCGGAGGCTTCCGTACAGGTCTCTGTTCGCTAGCCAGCCCTGGGACGGGATGGAAAAGGCGGAAGGGTGGTCAGTCCATGACGTGGCGTCGTGGGATGAAGGATATTTGTGCTAGATTAGCATCGGTTGGTGCGTCACAACTCCGTGGTTGGGGTCCGCGAGATAGCTCGAAACGTTATCGGATATGGCCAAGAATCGTAATCAACGGTGAACGTGTTGCAATTTCATTCTTTCTTCCCTACCCGATGATAGTTAACGAATACTGTTTGAACTTGTTAAGTATGACTGTTTTCTTTCCAGATGAAGTTCTTTATCCGTTCTCTACTCATATTTCTTACTTTTGATCTATGTTGTTTTATTATTAGGGTGGCGCATCTTTCTTGGTGCCATATTGTACCAAGTTTTTTTTCTGCGTTTAAATAAAAACACGTAACGGATATAAATAACCTGGATTATGCCATTTCATATAGCATTCACTATGTTTCAGATCTGGCTGATAAAGCTGATAAAGTCAATAAACTGAAGTCAACAAAACTGTATATATGATCAAAAAGATATAATACAATGCTAGTTCGACACTTGTTTGAAGTTCACGGTACCGCATACCAGTCACACAAAATATAATTTGAGTAAAGTCAAACTTTAAGCCTGGAATTATTTGCTTACTGTCTGCAGAAGACTCCGCTCCAATAACTGTCTCGAATGCTCTTACATAGTCATACGAAAAGCCACTGATCTGAATAGGATGAAATGCGCATCCTGAACTCCACTGCTAGTCCCCACCATCCACCAACTGATCCGATTTACAGTTAGTTCACATATTAAAAATTAATACAAAATTTTTAAAAATGTTACTCCTCACGAGGGCTATTAAATCACTACTAAAGATTATTGCATGATGTGAAAGGTTATAGAAAGTTGTATGAATAGATAGTTTTGGACTTTGTAGGCTAGAAATACATCGCTTATAAATGAACCGGTCAGATACGTTAATGTGCATCGGTGGCACAACGGTTAGGACTCTTGCCGACCATGCACATGGTTCGGGGTTCGATCCCCTGCCGACGCACACATAGATATCAATTGGTCGGCCTGCAAAATTTTGGCTACCGATATCACATGCTGAGAATTCCATACTTATACCAAAAATACGGCGTGGAATCAAGCTATAATCAAAATTTTCAAAAAATTAATAATAAATACCTGTGTGATGAACTTTTCACTTAGAGAACACGTAGATCCAAAACTTTTTATGTTTAACGTCATATTTTCTTTTGTCTGAGAATCAAATGTTGGATTCTCTATCAAGCAATTAACAAATAACCACATATGATTTTTGATCTGGAAGGGTTTGATCTGAACAGCAGATTTCCCAGATTTCTTTTTTACAATTTCCATAAGTTTGTTTACAATTTGATCACTAACATAAGTAATATGCGTCCCACCCTTAGTAGTTGCAATGCTGTTGACAAAACTGACTTGCTGAAACCCTGTATTGCTGACTGCCACAGCAACCTGCCAGCGAGGATTAGCCGATTCATATACAACCTGCAAAATAGATCCCAAAAAATGACTTAATAATATTTACCGTTCAATCTGTACATGAAACTGTCTCTATAAAACACATCTACGGGAACCACCAACTAAGAACTGAACAGAAGGCTAAAGAAAAAACATTCAAATCGACTGTTCGTATGTCAGTAATCTCAACACTGTGAAATTTTATTTTATGTTGTTTGGTTCCATAGGACAAGCTATTTCATAAAATGAAGAGCACTAAATGTAGACCGCAAATTGGGGGCTACGATCAGTATTTATTTTGAAATTGAAATATCTAAGCCAATACATTACAACTTCACTGAAGGTATGTAAGCCAGTACCAGACCGAAACAAATCTCTAACCGACTGTCTCAGTGGGAGCCACGAGGTCATCCAACACGGTAGTGACAAAGTCAACTACTATAACTTTAGTTTCTAGAAGTTAGAATTATAAGTAGCGCTTCAGAGACAAGAATACCGACGTTACCCAACTGTCAAGACTGTTGTTAACAAATCATGGATTAGGTGAATATCTGGCATAAACAAACACTAAAACAGAACCTCACAAAGAACTTAATTAAGTTTATAACACCTTTCAATATCAAGGTAAGCGACAAGGCTGTGAGAAGACAGGCAATTGGTTTTAACGCTAACATTATTAATATTGTACCAGTGTGACTGATTTTGAGTCACACTGCCAAGTCACCAATTGAAAATATTGTTATGACTCATCCGGGTCTAAATGTGAACCAGGCAATTACGAAATGTTTCCGTCTGGCTGACAAATGACAGTCTACTTGAGGATTTCAGATATAAAGGGGAATGTGTGACTATTCAGCACGCATTTATTCGCAAAAGAACACCGATGTATACAAAGATTTCTCTTCTAAAAAAAGCTGCTGGACTCTTACCCACAAACTCAACTAGAAACAAGCTTTGTCGGCTGAAGGAGCCTGTAGAGCCTTTAAAATAAAACAATTTAGCTTATATAATGTCCCACCTGCAATGATTGTCAGGTCAAATACATAGGTCAAACTAGTAGAACAGGGGCAGTCAGACTAGCCGAACATAAAAGCCAAGAAGCAAAATCTAGATTAGTTGACCCGCATAAGATAAGAAATCTAGAGATAGGTTCAGCTATAGCATTACATGCAATTACACGCAACCATACAACAGGATGGGATAGGATAAGATGACAGTTTTAAAATCTTATGTAACAAGGTGGAGGGAGGGATTGAAAGCGGAAGCTTTGTTTATCGAATCAACTGCAAATAAGTGTAATAGGAACGATTCAACACCTGTCCCAGATATCTAGAAACTCCTACTACCCCTACGACAAATAAGAGGGAACAATGAAGACTATAAAACAAGTTTCGAAGTCGTATGATTACAATTGATATGATTATGAACAGTAAATTTTGTTCGAAACGTCATCCAGTAAATAAGTTTCAATGTGTGATACATCTAATAAACAAACTAATATGGAATTACTTACTACCATAGTGCCCAAGTTTTACGCATATATTAATAGGACTTACTCTGACACTATCACCATCTTCTTTCGTAGGCTTTATGAACAAATTGACGTAATCCACAAATCCCTTTATAGGTAACCTCTTCCCATTAAGAAAAACTTTGACACCATTACAAGTAGCTGCCATATCATACGCACGACGTGTAAACAGAGCTACTGTATCATGTTCTAGCTCAGTCATACCGAAGCGTGCAAGGTCAGGATAGAACGTGATAGATGTGAAGTCTTCACCTTTATCGGCAGAGATTTTAGGCTCCGAAGTTTTCGTCATGTTTTCAACCCACACCTACAGAACATAGATCATTATATGCAAACATACCTGTCGGAAGCTCTTTTTATACTCTTTAGAAGAGGTTTCCACGATAAACTTTTTACTAAAAATATTGCACAGTTTAGCACCATAACCATTTCTGCCTCCCGTCACTTTTCTTTCAGTATCGTCATAATTGCTTGAAGTGAGAAGGTGCCCAAATATCAAAGTGGGGACATAAACATTTTCCACTTTGTGATGTACAACCGGAATACCTTTACCATCATTCCAAATTCGAACCATATTCTCGGCCCTTTAAAATAAATTATTTCGAAGAAGTAACTTACGGATTAATGTCAATCTTAATGCAAGTCATTGTAGGGTCTCTAACCTTGTTGTCAGCAGCATTTACTAAGCGGGAAATTAAGTTATTAACATCTCATTACCAAGAATTTCGTCGAAAATCTTGTACAAACCCGGAGAGTAGGAGATTTCCCTATTGACCATACATTCTTGATTTTCATCTAGGACCCACATCGGTTGGACATCCTTTAGCGTTGAACCGATATATGAATCAGGTCGGAGTAAGATATGCTCCAGTTGGGTTTTCTTTTGATATATACGCTCAACCGATAATCTCTTTTTATTATGCTGTTCAGACATGCCATTCTCCGTACTGTCTTGAATGTCTCCATTTGGCTGTGCAATCGGAGCAGCATCCATCTTTAAACTTGTGTGATACAGCTTGCGAACCAAATTCGCAGCAGTAGTTGAAAAGTCAAGTATATGATTATACTTTTGGTTAAAATGCAAAAGGCTGAAACTTCTCCGCACAAACGCTGCCTGAGCACGTCCCAACAGAGGACGTCCCAATAAAGTCACACAATAACGACTTTTCAAACCGAAAAGTGCGCCGCGACCTATGGCGTTTCGTCTATTCTTAAAAGGGTTTCAATGTCTTTATTTTTTTGAAGAAACGTAACACCAGAAGGCAAGATATGGGTGCCAAAGTGTATTTTTCATTAATCAAGCCTCTGTTTATATATACATAGTTTATATTCGTTAATCAATCAGTGAGCGTGTGATTTTGGTTTACCTCAAACGATATGAAATACAACGTTCAAATATTCATAATATTCTGGTGTTAATGCAGTATGTAACTGTGGGAAAAGTATTCTGTCTCTAACGTTATCTGCCACCACCACACTTTTCTCCCCATCAAAAACTTTCGACTGATCTTATTCCTAACCACTCACCTAATAATAATGTAGATTCAGTGTGAAGCGTCTTGGTGCTTCCGAGAAGATAACTTTATTTTCGGCTGATAAAATTCAGAATCAGTCCACTTGCGAGATGATTGTATTAGCCATACTGCTAATCAACTCCATGTGGCTAATGAAATATTTTGACGTGTCCTCACCCTTCAGAATCTCCAACATGTCTAGTAATGGGCAGGACATATCAAGAGCAGGAAAGAATTTACCCTTTGCTAAAATAATAATAATTTACTTTATTCCAAAAACAGTACTTATAATACAGAATGGAATTCTCAGCATTTGTCACAATATTGCATCTGATTTACTCAAAGTGTATATAAAATTAAAAATTAAAACAAAAATTAATCGGAGGAATTTGTCCACATTAACGACATAATTATTAGATATAATAATAATAATAAATACTAATAACAGTGAGTTTGATTCAAACAGTATTGTCGATTCAGTTTGGAAACTTTAGCATGTTATGGATAATTGGGTGTAATGTTCTGTTGATATGGTATAGTGAGGTGAAATACAAAGTTAGCAGTCATAATACAGCTTAAAATTATGTCCCCACTTATGAAAAATAATACAAACAAAACGAAAATATTGAGAGGATTATAAATATAAGAAATACAATAACAATAAAGTATGATGCTGTAAGGTTGAGGGAAGTGGTCTATTTAGTGGTGCTAAGAAGGTTAGTTAGTTCATTTCTGACACTATCTTCATCACATAGAGTACGTGCTAAATATGGTATAGTGGAATTTTTATACTTAGACGTACGTGCATAAAGTCTTCTGAAAAGACTTCTTGTTTTACCTGAGGAGACACAAGGTAGGAGCTGCTGGTAGAGTGGGTGCTCAGAGTCAGACAAAATTCCTCTAGCGAATCTGTTGCATGACATCAAATGCCTATCGGTGACAATGCCAACGATATGGCCCAATGGGATACCACTCGTCCTACTGACAGTGTTCAGAGTTCTACGAAGTATGACATAGTCCTTTTTTTAGCAATCCAGGAAAGAATAATGGTGAACAGTAAAGAAGAATAGGTAAAATACACGAGTTGACAAACTGTAAGAGGAGTGGTTGGGTTATGCCTGAGTGCCTCAACTTCTTAATGTAAAAAGTCAGACGAAATATTCTTTGAGAAATCGCTAAGACATGAGAAGACCAAGATAGGTCAGAAGAGAGAACTAATCCAAGATACTTAACTTCAGACTTGCTTTCTATATCGGTATCGTCGATTTTGCAAGGGTCATAGGAACCAACGGCTTCATTTAACTTTCGTTTACATCGGAAACTGAAATTGACAGTCTGACATTTGGAAGGATTAAGTTTAAGGCCATTAGACGAAGACCATTTGCTAATTTCTGATAGAAAATTGTTAATCTTAATACAGTCAAGTTGAGAGTTAACAGACATTGAGATAGTTAGATAATCGGCATACTTAACAAAGTTCGTTTCATCGGAGTGAGGCAAGTCATGCAAGAAGAAAGAGAACAGAAAAGGAGAAAGGACAGCGCCTTGAGGGACACCAGCCTCAGTAAGCAGTGAAGTGGACGACTTTCCCTGACATACAGTGTATTGCTTTCTTTCTGAGAAATAAGAATGGAGCCATTTGACTACCCAACAGTCAGTTTCAGTTTCAGCAAGCTTGTTTAGTAAAATGTCCCTAGGTACTGAGTCGAAAGCACATGTATAATCTAGAAAGGTGCAGCGAACAAATTTAGCCCCCTTGTCTAAGCTGGAGACAATGTTATGATACAGGACTGCAGCTGCGTCCAAAGTACTTCTACTATGTTTGTAGGCGAATTGTTTGGGATCATTAAAGGCTTTAAGTGAAGGTTGAAGATTAAGTAAGAGCAACTTTTCCATAGCTTTTAGAAAAGGGGAAGTAATAGCAATGGGTCTGAATTTAAAACTTGTCGCAGTAGACGACTTAGGAATATGTACAATTCACAACTATACCCTTCTATCGCATAGCATTTTGCTATCGCGAAGAGTTAGGACGTACTGGTTTGGCTTTGTTATTACGAGCCAACTTTTGAAATACAAATATAATCGGGATTATTCTACTGGATCAAGGGGATGAAACATACCTTGGAGTGCACACAGTATGTTGGAAGTGAATTTGCAAACATGCAGCACTAAGCAGAGCGACACGTGGAATTTAATATCGGCACAAGTTCTGACTTTGAAGTCATAGAAAAGTGTGGTGAATGGTACCATGAATAGATCAGAAATTAGATTCGGACACCATCATTCAGACTCCATTAACCTTCAATCGGTTTAATATAACCACATGTAGATTGGCTGAATGCTAAAGCAGTGCGTTTCCCAGTGTTTGGCTACATAGAGGATTTCACTCATGCATTTCTGTTGTCCTTGACCTATTACACACGGTTCAGACTTTCAACAGTATCTTGATTATTCATGACCCACTCCTTTCCCGGGAGGAGGAGTCCCAATAATCACGCCAGACCGTGTGGTATCACATGGCGTTGCTCACTTTAAGCCTCACCTTCTCATCTATAACGTTAAAGCCAAAACAACAACCTTTCGCTCATCCGAAATGGATGACTAACAGAAGTATGGGCACTGTTTTTAGTTATGTGCTGTGGAAAATATTCCATTGGTATTTGATGCTTGAGAAATTATTTAGTTCACATTGGGCGACCATATGGAATAACCCTTCCATGAAGTATAGCTACCTCCTTTATTTTGCCAGTATTGTGACAAATGTTGAGAATTCCATTCTGTATTATAAGTACTGTGTTTGGAATAAAGCAGATCATTATTATTATTTGCGATGTTTAGTAGATTCGAGCTGGGCCAGGGAGACGCTGTTGACGTGACTTTACAATTTATTTGCCTATTGTTGGGTGAATTTATACAAAAATTGTAGTTCGGTACTTTTCATTGATATGGATGCATTATTTGTGCAGCGGGATGCCTAGTGGCTAGTGGCTTTTGAATAATCTCTTTTTACCCTGGTGACGACCTGAACTCAGTCATAAATTTCCCGACCAGTAGTTGTGCGCCATCCATTACGGTAGCTATCAAGTTCCTGTCTCTTCACTTTAGGGTGGTATTCTGATTGCTAAAAGCCGATGAAACCCATGAATACCACCAAAAATTATTGCTCATATCTAGGCAGAAATTACGTTCCGTTTTATGAACACCTACAATGTTCGCTGTTTCCTCTCGAAAATCTTAATTGATTTAAATGTACACTACCACATCTTCTATTACTTTGCTGCATTTGAATTACTTAAACGTCATCGTGATCAGGTAGGTAAATACATCTGACGAGTACGTTATTTCGTTGTTCTGTCATCGTCTTCGGTTCCATGAACTCCCCGCTTTTTGTTGTTATCCTGAAATTCCATTGTGTTCTCTGTGCAACCATAATTCACAGAATTATCTTGGAATCGAATAAGCTTATTGTCCAGACGTTTTGAACGTTACCGATGTAGGGGTTACAAACAGTTGCTCTGTCCGACAGTTTCAAAAGTATTGGCTGACATAATCGCATACTTATATAATAAACTTCTATCAATTCTTGTGGCGTTAACTCGTCAATGATTATATTGACAGCGATATTATTTATGTATACCTCCTGTGAAAATTTGTTTTTTCTTCTAGCCACTCCTTAATTTCTGCGGATTCATTGGGTTGGTTACTTAAGAGAGCGGTTTCCATTATCATTGTGTTCGCATTTTGTTAATTCACTAATGAATGCATTCCCTATTTCCCACCTGGATATTCTGCTTGTTAACAATGAATACTAAATTTTGCGAATGTTGTGAGCTGCAGTTTGGGGGATAAGGATAATTTCTTATAATGAGTGGTGCACCAAGAAGAGACATGTACTTCTAAATTATATTGTCGTCAATATGAGATACACTATTTTGGGCGCGACAAATTTGTTAGCAGTAATTATCATCAGTATATACATGTCGGGAGGAGTGTAGTAGTCAAAAGTTAGAACTACCCAGCTAGTATTTGCTTCGGGCGCGCTGCAGAACGTGGGAAACTTATCTGCAGTCTACCCAAAAGTTTCTGCAACTGACTCCAATTATTATCTACTCGCCTACGGTAATGCAGTAGACCTTAAGTCTCTAGCCACTTTAGTCACATACCTATTATGTCCACAGCTTGTCGCAACTCAGAGTTATGATACTACAAAGAAGTCGAATTTTAGAAAACATATTTACTCTTCATGCGAAATGTATTTACAATGCATGGACACGACATGCAAGTCAAAAATGGTCTGAGTCACCAAAAGTATATTGTCTTAAAAATAGAATCCTGATGTCTATACAACAAATTAGCCTAGAATGACCACTTAAATAAACATTATTGTCATATTTTTAAGTAAACACAACGAATTTCTGGAGAATTACTTACCGCTACAGCTCACTCTCCCCTTAGTGGGGTTGTGAGGACCCTAAAACAAATCCAGCCGGAAGTAAAAACAATCAATGGTCTTCCCATCGGTAAAAGACTCTTCCGATCGGCTTGATGTAGTGCCTACTGGTCGTCTACCCATGCTAATATGGTGTCCGTACATCGATTCGTTTATGTTTGTCCGTTGGATCTCATACTTCGTTTGCTTCTTGTTCAGTGCCCA